CTTCCTTCCAAGGAGTGGCTGGTGGGTTTGAACCGCCAGCCGTCTGGTTAGCAGGCAAGTGTCTTAGCCACTATGCTACCAGAGCTCCTGGCAGTAACAAATAGAATGCCAAAGTGCAAGGCAAGAGTAACACTGATTGTGATGCTAAAGTTATATGTCAACTTGGCTGGGCCATGATTCTCAGTGGTTTGACAGTTATATATTAAATTAATTTGGCAGTTATGTAATGATGTCATTTGGCAGTTCTGTAATGATGAAATGTGGTAGTCATGTGATGATGCAGTCATCCTCCATTTTGTGGTTTGATGGGGTCATCCTGCATTTTCACATCAAGATCTTGTCTCTTGAAACCTAACCATATCATAAGTGAGTGGTGTAATTAACAGGCTGTGCTCAGCACAATTCAAAATCCTTCAAGCCCTTTAATTTTATGAATTACAATACAAAAGTAAAGATATTATGTTTTTATTGACTTTTCTACAACTTTTATAATATCTGGTTTCACAAACTGTCATTATTTGAATAGTTTAGCAAATATACATCTTCAAAATTTAGAACTTTCCCTATCCTATTAGAAAAATAACAAATAATCTAATATTAAAAGTTTCTAGAGACTGACAGAGCAGATAATCATTTACCAGACAATCAAGTGGTTTATGCAAATCCTAGTGGTTTTCTAGAAGGAAGCAATGTTTTTTCAGTTACCATTCATGTACTTTTATGTTTTTATCAAGAAGTAGTGTTCTAAAGGAAAAAAGAGAGATTTACCTGGTAACATGATTCTTTGTTTTGATTTATTTTTAAAGGCTTAGAGCGCCACACAAAAGACCCAGAACATACTGTGACGGTAAGTGAATCAAAAGGAGTATTGTACAATCACAGCTTCCAGGAATAAACACAAGGAGGATGCACTGCTCTTCCTGGTCTACTAAAGTTCATTCAAAGACCGCAAGCCTGGTTAAGAACAGGGTTCCTTCTCACCAAGTCACACACGAAGTGTGAGAAAATCACATACCCTCCCTGAAATCCTGTTTCCAACAATCTAACAGTGAAACTAATAACCACCTGAGCTGGTCAGGGCAGTGTGCTCTCTGAAAAGACATTATTATGAAATATGTATTTGTAATGATTACCATGTATTTAGCACATCTCTTATGTGTATCTTCAGATCCCTGCTTAACTCAACTTACTCAAACAAAATGCAACTTGGACGGGTAAGAGCAGTCACTTCGCCGCCTTAAGTCACCACAAGTTAGTCTTCTCTCAAAGTGTGTAAACCTGCTTTTCAAAAAAGCGGAAGACTGATGTCTGCAAAGAAGGTTTACACAAAACGATGAAGTGCACTATTGTTGCCTGATGATAATAAGTAATAACATATTTGTAAAGTCTTACCGGGGCTACCAAAGCCTACTTTCTCAAATGTTTACAGTTCTGCTCAACAAGAATCTACTGCTGTGCTGAAAGGTAAGACAGGATATTATCAAAATAATTCACCTTGGCTGGGAAATGAAACCATCAGCCTTAGTCCTTCACAAGATGGGTATCCTTTTACATTATTGCAAATAGCTAAATCTCTAAAAGTCCAAATTACATGCAATTGCATGGATTTGTTTAAATGACAGAGAAGACCTAATATAAACTGATTTCTTCTTCCTTGACTGAACTACAACGATTTTGCATCCTCTAATATTTCTTGGGGCGCTCTGGTAGCATAGTGGCTAAGACACTTGCCTGCTAACCAGACGGCTGGCGGTTCAAACCCACCAGCCACTCCTCGGAAGGAAGGTTGGG